TGAGGGCGGTGGTTTTCTTGCAGACGTTTCATTACCATGCTAGGTAGCATCGTCAGTGCTACAAGGGAGTGGGGTTTGTGGAGTGGAGGGGAAAGAGGAGGAAATGGAAAAGGGAAGGAGGAGCAGGAGAAGAGAGTAGCGGAGGAGGAGCAGGAGGAGGACAACTGTGGAGTCCTTGCTACTCTCTGAACTTTGTTGTTTTCTTGAAGACATCTCATTACCATGCTCAGTAATATCACCAGCGCTAGAAGGCAGAGGGGTTTGTGACAGCTTTAGTCCTTGATGCTCTCTGAACTTGGTTGTTTTCTTGCAGATGTTTCATGACTCAACTAGGTAACATTGTTGCTAGAAAGGGAGTGAGGTCTGCTCTCCGTTTATTTACTCGTGGCTTGCCCTGTCAGTGTTTACTTCTGGCTGGTTCCTTGGTTAGCAGAGCAGCCTAATAGGGCAAACCACTATATATAAGCAAAGACCAAGCCCCACTCCCTTTTAGCACTGGTGATGTTGCCTAGTTTGGGTCATGAACCACCTACAAGAAACCCACCAAGCTCAGAGAACACTCAAGGATCCGCACGTGAAAGATGCATAAACTCTTCCGCTCACCGAAGCACCGATTTTGGTTTACGGTCTGTCTGAATCGAAACTTGCATGTTTTAAGTGTTTCCTTTCTTAATGGAATGGGGGCTGTTTTCTTCTCTGAGCGAGACGAGCAGTTTTGTCCTACGCGCTAAACAAAACAGAGCTACCTGTGCAGTGCAGTGGCTTGGGATTAAGGAAACGCCAGGAACGGAGAAGAACGAGAGAAAAAAAGACCCTGGATGTGGTCAGTGGGGTGTTTTTATGCCATTCTCAGTGGCAGCTGCTAATAGGGAGAAAAATGGGGCCAGGCTGGACATCTGATTAGGCTGCATTGGGAATTGTAGAAGGGGCCAGCCAGCAAGACCCAACCTCATCTTTCTTGTCCTGCCCGGGTTTTATTTGGCCTTATCTGAAACCCAAAACAGCCGCAGGGTTTCTGTTACTTTTTCATTTCTGTTGAACCATCAACCTCTGAAAATAGTTTGTCAGATCCTCGCCATGTCATGGTTCCGAGTAATGCTCCCAGAACAATTCAAGACTCTGAGGCCTTGGCTTCGTCAAAAATCCTGTTTATTGGGTGTACATCATATCAGCACAGTCAGATGTGCCCAATAAACAAGAAGCCAAGGCCTCAGTGTCTTGAAGGAAGCCAAGGCCTCAGAGTCTTGAAGGAAGCCAAGGCCTCAGAGTCTTGAATTGGCTGGCAGCATTACTCGGAACCATGACACGCCGGTTTGGTTGTTGTTTTATGCATACCTCTCATGTTTAATCTTTAAAAGAGACCAAACAGATACCATATAAATCACAAGACTGATGTGTTGGCAGTTGTTAGATTTTTCTGTACTAAGAAAATTCACACACCTATTAAAATTGGTAGGCTCCACCAATAAGTGTGCCCAGTATTTTGTCAGAGGGAAGAAAAGAGGCCTAGGGCAACTGAAATGCCAGGAAAGCACCCCCCAATTCAGTGTGTTTTGGAAAAAGTTTGCCCCGAAGACAAGGTTTCAGAAGAGATTCCTTTACTACTTGAACCAGCCCTCTGTTGTAATCTCCCTTTTGCATAGCTTTTGTTGTGATTTGTCAAAGTACCCTGGAGGCAAGTGAGTGACATAAAAGGGAGTAAAATGCTATCTGTTAGTACTTAGGAATTGTGCTTAAAAAAAGCCCATTTAAAAAGCCTTCCGACTTGTTTCATAAACTGAAGGTAGGCATGCAAACAGAAGATAAATGTTGGCTCTTGATAAGCTTCCTTTCACATGCTCTAAACAATCTTATCTGGGCTGTTCTCTCCTTGTTCTGGGTGAATGACAACAAGGGCCCCCTGCAGAAGGTTGTGTCCCAAAGGTTTTCCAGTCCTTTCTTCCCTTTCTCCCATTTCCCTTGCCCCAGCCTTCTTTGCTCACCCCCTGGACATACGGTAACTAATGTTGACATATGAAGCTTTGTGGGAAGATAAAAGAGGATAAACCATTCTGGGAGAACGGCTAATCCAGTCAAATTTTCCTTTTATGGAGATTCCGAAACTCAAAGTCTCATCTAAAATGGTCATAAGTGCAAAAAATGGTCATAAGTCACCTTTTTCAGTGCCGTTGTAACTTTGAATGGTCACGAAATGAACTGTTGTAAGTCGTAAGTTGTAATATAGAATACATTGCAAGCCCAGGACCTATCTCCTAAAGGAGGGTTTTTAAACCCAAATAAAATTATTCTTGTTCTTGTTAACACAATCCCTCCATTGGCTGATATCTGCCTGGTTTAGGTGTTCCCGTGTTCTCACCCTGCCCAGGGTGGGTAGTTGCAAAGATGCTTTTTCCGAAAGGCAACTGGGCTTTCTTGGTTTTATTGCTTGAAAATGTTTCGCTTCTCATCCAAGAAGCTTTTTCAGTTCTTGGATGAGAAGCGAAACGTTTTCAAGGCAAAAAAAAACAAAAAACAGGAAAGCCCAGTTGCCTTTTTGAAACAGTGACCTGGATACCTAAAAATCTCCATGGACCAGGGGCGTCTCAAACTTGATTTCATTGAGGACCGCATCAGGGTTGTGTTTGACATCGGGGGGCCTGTGGGGGGGGCATGGACAACTCGACAGTTTCAGGGGCACCTGTGATTGCCCAGGTGGGGCTGGAAGGATCCTCCTGCAGCCCTCTGCCAGCAAAAAATGGAGCTTGGGAGGGCCTTTCCTTCGCCGTTTCCAGGCCCGATCTAAGCATCCTGCGGGCCTTGAGTTGGAGACCCCTGCCATAGACCAAAAAGGTGGGTAGGTTTTGTTGGAAGAAAAATTCTGTCGTCATCAAGAGGCTCAAGCAGTTCTGACGAATGGCTGTGCCAGTCCTGCCTCAACTCGAGCAATCCTCGACTCCCATTTGTTGAGAAAGGTATAGTTGACTAAAGGTCAAGTAAAATTGAGTAAAGCAAAGCCACATTCACTTGCCAAATTCAGAGATGTAGCTTCCCCTCTCTTAGGTACGACCCAGTGCTTCCCCCATCATCCAGTCAGTTTCAAAGAAGGTGTTTATGGAATTGTCACTTGAGTGTGTAGGTTGCCTCGCAGTGGCGTTCTTCTCGTAATGGAGCGAACTTTAAAGGCCGTCTCTGAGAGAGCCACTTTCGCTACTTTCACTTCCCCTGCATTCACCCTCCCTTACACACACACACACACACGCATGCGCAAAAACATTACCCCCCCACCCCACCCCCATCCATGGCAGACTGGATCTGCCGATGAAGCAGCACACAAGATGGGGAATCTTATTAATTTATTAGATTTTTATCCTGCCTTTAATACTTTAGAAATAAATCAAAGTGGTGAACATCCCTAATGCTCCCTCCTCTTTTCCCTCCCAACAACAACCTTGTGAGGTGGGTTGGGCTGAGACAGGGTGACCGGCCCAAAGTCACCCAGCCAGCTTTTGTACCTAAGGCAGGACTAGAACTCATAGTCTCCTGGTTTCTAGGCCAGAACCTTAGCCACTAGACCAGGGGTCCCCAAATGTGTCATCTTTAAGACTGGTGGACTTCAACTCCCAGAATTCTGGGAGTTGAAGTCCACCAGTCTTAAAGTTGCCACGTTTGGAGACCTGCACTAGTCCAATCTTTTGGGCACCAAGGACCAATTCCATGGGGAGAGATTTTTTCCGTGGACCGGAGAAGGGTGTGGTTTCACGGTGTTGCCTGCGTACTGCGGATGGGGCTTCGCTTGTTTGTGTGGTCCGCTTTCTGGCATGCCGCGGACCAGTGCCGGACCATGGAACCGGGGGTTGGTAGCCCCTGCACTAGGCAGACCAAAGCGGCTCTGCTTGAAATAGCTTTGGCCGTTTGAAGTCTTGAAATTTTTTGCGTTTTGCAGTTTGCCCAAATGGCTTCCTTGGTTGCAATCAATAATGAATGGGTTGTAATTAATAAATGCTGCATGCATACATGTTGTGTGGGGGTGAGAAGAATGAGCAGTTGTTTTGATTTGTCCTTGCCTACATCCTGTGTTGAGGTGTTTGGGGCATCTTGTCAGCTTTGACATTAAGGGATTTTGAAGTTTAAACATCACCAGGACGCTATGATCTTATTCCATCAGCAAACATGGGATTGAACTTGAGAAAGGAAGAGTGAGTGGGACATTGGGTTCCTCTGAACTGGTTATAAACTGGTGTGCCAGGTAAAGAAACTTTGGGGGGTCTTCGTTGCTCTCTGAGCTTGGTTGTTACAGTAAGTAAAGCAATTCTGCTGTGCGTTGATGACTTAAGGCCACATGAAATGGTTGATTGCTCTCAGGCGGGAAGGGGTTGCTACCATTCCGCAGCTTAACCAAAACCCTACCTTACATTTGTGTTACTCTGTGTGAGGTGGCCGTTGGCTAGTTGCACTTTTAGTATTTGTGCCTGGGGACCTCTCACACAGAGAGATCCCGAGAAAACATTTTACAGTTACAAAAGAATAAAGCTTGCCACACGTATTGATTTTCCTAGATGTGTGGTCTTGTCATTCTGGAACTTCCCTTCCCCCTTTCCTTCCCCTTCCCCTTCCCTTCCCTTCTCCCTTCCCTTTCCATCCCTCCCCTTCCCCCTTCCCTACTCCTTTTCCTTCCCTTTCCATCTCTTCCCTTCCCCTCCCCTTTCCTCCCCTTCTCTTCCCCTCCCCTCCCTTCTATTCCATTGCGTTCCATTCTGTTCCATTCCTTCTCTGCTCCCTTCCCTTTCCATCCCTTCCCCTCCCCTCCTTTCCATTCCATTCTGTTCCATTCCTTTTTTTTTTAAATGCTTGCTGTCAATC